GATGAACCCTATGTACATTCAACACAACAACAACAACAAACAAAATATCAATACAATATATTACTTTATCATAACTGCTAGGCTCAATATCTAATGTACTTTTATAAATTGGACCCGACAGCCTGTGGTGCTAGTGCTCAATGCCTTTTTTTTTAAGTCTAAGAATTTATTTCATTAGTCTAAAATTATAATAATAATAATATTTTTTTTTTTTTTTTTATAAAAATTTGAAGTTAACTTCGAATATGGTCGAAACGAAATGCAAGCTATCCGAAAATTTTACATCTTCAGAGCTGGTATCGATATAATAGAATACACATTGTCTTGACTTATATTTTATCTAAATTTAAATTTTTATATTAATATTCGTCTAAATAAATAGATAAAAGAATTTCGCATAATATGGTTTGAGCATAGCGCGGTACGAATAAACAAACCGTGCTAAACGAGGGACGTCTCTCTATGATATAAAGAATGTGTAGAAGAATTTTAAAGCCTGCAGGATGTGAAAAGTCCAGGAATTGGTCAGAGAAACGTATCCCCGGTTAGCTACACACTTCGAATCCTATCTTTATAAATTTCGAACAAAACGCTTTCTCTCTGTACGCTTTCAGAACGATACACAGAGGAAATATTTTAAATTTGAACAAAAATATATTAAACATATTGGGAGAACTAAATATCTTAAATAGATGTGAGTTATAAGTGAGCGGCAAGTCTCAGGCATTGCAATAAAGGAGCAAGACTTTTACCTTATTCTCTCTCTATCTAACCTATGCTGTAGTCTTTGTGTGAAACGAAGGTTCTAAGAGTTTCTGAGTAAAACCCAGTACTTCTTCAGACTGCTTGTATTTACTACGTCAAGTGGAAAATTTCTTTGCGTTTGCTTAAAATTGTCGCACAATTTGGTCATAGGTGATCTCATAATACGATGTAAATCATTCCTTAAACTTATTGCAATTGCGGGCGTGTTTTCCTGTGTACTTAAAAGTTTTAAGTAAAAAAAAAAAACTCATTTTTACAACGCAAGAAATTTTTTTGCTTTTGTTATTGCCACTGTCAGCATCAGGATGTTCAATTTCCGCCTCTTTTCTACTCTGTTTAGATTTTCCTCGGCTGTACATTTTTGCAATCACACACACACACACACACACACACACACACACAGAATTGCTAGTGGCAGATGTTTCCTTTTATTTTTCCAACTCTTCCTTCTCCCCAATTCGTCACTTTCCTCGCAAGATATGTACTTTTACTTTCCTTTCATCAATTCAATTTATTAAAGAAATAAAATGAGCATCTGAACAAGTTTCTCATAGGCAAGCGAAAGCAAAGCGAAAGAAAATGAAAAACTGCATTTATTACATTTAAGACGGAGCACGACGGTTCCGTTACCTCACTAACCCTTTCTGGGGAATTGTTGTAAGACATGTCTTAACGTAAACTTACTTACTTAAAAACTTGTTATGGAAATTACAAATATTTAATTAATTTCTTCACTTTTTATTTAAGCACAACATATTTGTTTATTTTGGAAACAATTTCCTATTCACGAGCAGTCTACAGGAGAGCATCATTTCAAGAAATTGATGGGTATCAGCTAACAATCCTTTTCAACACATAACCAACAGTCAAGAAAGTTCTCAATGAATCCAAATAGTCAGAATTTGTAGCAAGGGTTTAACGTGGGTTCCTGCCTGAAAGGCTTAACCCCATGGTGGCCCAAGCCACTTTAAGCGTATTGCGCCCTCTGGCGAGTTAGACAATCCCCACAGAGTGGGGGCCTAAACAACACCTGAATCCAGAACGGTTTATTGTGTATGGAACAATAAACCCCACTCTGGTCAGTGGTGAGGCCTAGCTGCACTCAAATTGTTCCACTTTGGCTAGGAACTTGCCAACCACAACCATCACGAGTACTCCCCGAAGGGCCGCACCCAAGCAGTCAGGACTCACAAATTGATCAACGATATGCGTTCAAAAAGGGAAAAATTGCGCTCGCCTCCGCCATAAGGCTTCCACGGCGCCGTTGATCAATTACCACCATTACCCGCAGGCATCCGTGACATATGTTCAAAAGTAAATAGTCAGAGTAATACTGAACTAGGTTTGAAATGGACATGGCAGTTGATTGAATGCCTCGCAAAGAGTTACGTAAATGGCAGTTTCAACATGGCAGCCAACGCATAACTCTACAGTGGGGAAACTTTTAACGAATAAATTCATATTCATATAAAGAAAAAGATTATCGTTAGGACTTGAGAAAGGACATTTATGCCTGCGATTAATGAGTTGAATCGAAACGATAAACGATAACGTTCTTCAAGCAGTAGAAGTTAGAATAGAGTAAATAGATCCGATTCACCCAGAGTAACAAACGATCTTAAAGGACGGATAATTTCAATGTAATTGCAACAATAATCTATGATCGATGCCAGATACGGTTTCGAACATTGTCGCCCGAATCATGGTTCATTCCATTGCGGCGCTTAAATTGTTAATGAATTATTCTCTAATTCGAGCGATTCGCTTAAAGAAATGGATTTCTAAAGTTGGTTCTTCATGTGCTTTCAATCTTTTTTAACTTTTTTTTTGCTTTCACAACAATAATCTTGAAATCGAAAATGCTGCTGGCGAACTGAACACATAACCGTAAATCTAGTTTATTTTCTGGCTTTAATTATATAAAACATGGTCGTATGAACGCTTAAATAATATGTTTAATGTCTTGTTGCTGATGATGTTAGCATTAATAAAGCGTAATATACTTAATCATGCACCATTCATTATTTACTCAAGTGTTTAAGTGAATTTCAGCTAAATATTAAGGAACCTAAATATGCGATGAATTAATTGATAAAAATGACTTTTATAAGCTCATTATTTATATGCATGGTCTTGCGGTAATTTTTCAAAAAAGATTTGATTTAATTGGAAAGGCAAGCGGGAAAATTGTGTTCGCCTTATATGATGATCTAATTTATTTGTATGCGCATTAACGGAGTATAAAGGAAAACATCTGTCGACCTACAGCGGCTAGGGACAACAGGAAAATTTTAAATATATGTGTTCAGTAACGCTACAATTCCTTCATCAATATTACCACTTTTGCAGACGAAAAAGCTCACTGAAATGTTAATATCTAAGTATTGGATGTCTGCAGATGTTCCTTTTGCTTGATGGTACACGGGTTAATTTTACGTAGCGGGAACCCTCCAGGGAGTTAGACAGTTCTTATAAGATAGGTGCCTGAACTATGCTGGAGAAATCAGATATATTTATTATATATGGACCAAGAAAGCCACTCTAGGGAATATTAAGGCCTATCACTACATCACTAATTTTTCGCTTTAGGACTCTTGCACCGCCAAAATGAAGGGACGGATCCAGCAGTCAGAACTCACACATTGGTTAACTGCTCCAAACCAAACCAAATCTTTCTCGTTAGCCGGCAGACACCGGAAAACCTCTCTACCAACTGTTGACCAACTGTTTGGTCAACTCAATTGGCGAGGAAAAGAACTTCGTGAGGGACGCCACTAGTGGATTAATTTATTGTTACCATTAACCATTTCGTCGATATAGGTGTCAAATGAAAGGGCTTGGGTAATAGAATGCGAATTGTAATAGAGATTAAAAAGTACAAACCCGATTATATAAAAGCTATTAAGTAATTTTTATCTGAGTCACATTTTGGAGGCGTTTAGCAAAAAACTGAACTTCTTACCTTTCGTGCGCAATCACCTAAAGTGATTGAGATAAAATCTATTTTTCACGGTTTAATTCACTTAAATAAAAGCTTATGTAACAGATTTTTGTTGCATAAAAATTCATAATATTCCCACAACGTACTTTTCAAAGAAATGTTTGCATTTTTTTTTTATACGGAATGTGGTATAATTGTGCGTTACGTTTATCGAGCGTACTCACAAGCTTATTACACGCTTGTACCATAAATGGTCCATGGTATAAAAATATTTAAGAATTTGATAAAAGAATAAAAAATTTCCATCACCACCTATTAAAACTTAGACTTTTCTGCTTTACAAAGGATCGATTTTTTTGAAAATCCTTATTAGAGTACGATCCAAAAAATAGGCCGAGAAGGTCTAAATTTGGTACATTTGATTTTTTTATGTTAAATTATTATATATGATATAATTTTCTTTATGAAGAATTGAAAATTATACCTTTTTGTCGAGTGAAGTTCAGTTTTCGTTAGATGGGGGGGAGATTCGAAAATTGCCCTAAACGATCCAAAGAAGAATTTTGAATTTTCCAATGTTAACAAAAACGTTCGCTCAAGATACATCGCGCGCTCTTTTACTTACGATTCATAAATGCGTGTTGTCCCAACGTAAGAGAAGACCTAATGAATACATGAATGCACTGTAACTTTGTGCTTTAATTAATCAATTAAAATAAAGTTTCTGTCATCCATACCGTCATAATATTATATATGGTTGGGGTTGGAATAGAGGCGAGTGCTAAGAGGGCTAAGAAGGCTTGAAAAAATGGGGCGAGATGGTTCGAATGAAATGCTGCCGCTCGAAAAGATGATGGTAAAGCCATGTCTTCGGCTTTTATAATTCGGCATTTTCTATTTCAACAAGTGTTCAAAGAAAATGTAAACAAATGGCAATAGAAAATTTGTGCTGTGTGTGATGTCGGTGTTTTTTTTTTTTTTTTACCCCGTCATTCTCTTTCCATTTGTATTCCGAGATAGTGAAATAAGAACTATGTAATAGCAGCTTGGAAAATAAGGGAAAAGTAGAATTTCTAGGTTTTCTTTAGAAAAGCTTCTAACCGAACTAAATCGAACTTCTCCTTCAGTTGTTAAAGCGTAATTAAAACGTTCACACAACGAAAAAGTTTACTACTATGCTTAAACAAAATTAAAAAATTCATTTTCACAAATTCAAAAGATTTATCCTAAAACAATTCGCCTAAAGTGAGAAGAAATACTCTTTTAAATTCTGATTTTAAAGACATCGACATGTGCGTTTCTAATAACGAGTTTATCATTGAGCAATGTGACATTTTGGTGACTCAAAGTAAAGGTAAAACATGTGGTTGAACCTTTCAACTTTGATTTTTTTTTCTTTTTTTTTTTTTGGGTTTTTTGTGGGCTCAATTTGGCCATTTACAAAATTTAATCTATTTGCTCTAATATGCGAATGCGTACAGTGGATCATTGCATCATGCCTTTCTGTTGTTGTGTTTGAAAAAAAATTTAAGGAAATTTAAATAATAACGACTTAGACATGTATACTGTGAATTTTAATACAAGTGCAGTCGAGAACGCATCAAATATAAAGCATATATTACGTAATCTTATATTTGTACTTAGATTCAGAAAACTTCCCAAATAGTATCGCAAAACTGAAAGAAGACCAACATTTCTTGCGATTCGGCAAACATTACAACGTCATTTTATTTTATTGACATAAATGTGCTTTTTTTTTTTTGTCTGCAAATATTTGCTTTTAATATATCATAAAATCATATAAGTAAAATTTAAAGAAAAACTTGCAAGTGGAATGAATGGGACAAGTTCAGTAATGCCCAATACCCTCAAACGGTTAACATTCATTGGTGATGGGATATTCCATTAAAAAATCTAAGTTATGAAAATAAGATTTTCATAAAAAAAAAAAAAATAAAAATAAAAAATATGAAAAATATAAAAAAAAAATATATATTAACAAAAATGCAAAGGGGAAAATAGATTGTTTACTTAAATGAGAAAATGTACAGTGTACGTGTACGTTAGTAACCGTAAATCTTCTTAACTAACACTTGCATGTTTCATACTGTGCGGCGTACAAGCCATATACGTAATTGTATGCGCTTATGTTCAGATTCCCTTCAAATCGAAAGACCTTTTGGCTAATTGTACTGCCTCGGTTTGTATTAAGTTTTAATGACCCACTTAGTAGACAAAAATAATAGTAGCGAGTAGCGTTGCTTGATTTCATGGCTGTTACTCATTTTCCGCTCAAGAATGCTTTACATGACAATACAAGTAATCTTTTAACGAAAGTTAATTGTTCCTTAGTGTGTTTTATACGCTGGTCGGAATGCATGTAAATAATTTCGCATTAATGAAGGGACGGCGGGAAATTTTACGTCAATTTTAAGGTTTCTTCGAAGATCTCCCTTGTAAAAATGAGAAAAAAGAGTAAAAACATAGTCTTGCAACTAATAAATAAAAAAAATAAATAAAAAAATTCAACTGAGAGTCAATGTCTTTTTAGACGCTCTCTCTCCCGTAATGGATACAATTTAGTTTAATGCTGCATTTAAACAATCCCGCCCGCATTTGTGTTTATATTCTATGATTTATAAGATTTATAAGACACATAGTGATCAGTTTACAAATTGTTTCCCATCATATCGTGCGAATTGAAAAAATAACTAAAGTAATTTTCGAAAAATTCCACTCAAAATACATTTAGAAATATTGAATTTTTGACGTCTACATCAATTGTGGTGGTGCGGATGTATGCAACGCTAAGAAGTACTTGAGATAGATTCACCATCTTGTCTGTCTCGTCTTCAACCTAAAGATCCCAATTTTTGAGATATTTTGATTGTATTTAACGCGAAGGCGAACGCAATTGAAAATGGTTTGGATCGGACTACTTTCTCGACCACTACCCATATAAAGCTTTATTTCGAAAACGTATAAACAGTAGTAACAGTATAAATGATGGACTGACGAAAGTAGAACTCTCCCGGAAAAAGTTAAAAAAATTATTAGCGACCTAAATAATATCTTTAAGAGAATCAAGTACTTTAACGATCTAAATGGTACTGGGGCTAAATCATATTTACGCTAGAACATATATGATCTGTTTTCTTGAAACCTGAATATGTCGAAATGTGTGCTGAAACTGAGATGGCACCCATCTGCTGTTTATCGGCATTGAAAGTGTGAGTTCAGCCTATAAATTGAAACGAAATATAGATCGATGAGTCACCTTTTGCCCCGCTCTATAAAATTAAATAGAAGCCAAGCAGATTTATGTCAATCATATTCGTCAAATTAACGAAAGTTAGGTCATAACTAATGCAGCCGATTTCGATTTACAAAAAATTGCCTTAACTTGTTCCACGTGTCACTCTTCAAAGTCTCAGCCCTATGTTTAAATTTACTTTATCATCTCACTGTATGCTTGTCTTGTATGTTCTTCTAACCAATGCCGCAAACTACCTTTATATGCGTATACTTTCTCTTAAATTATTGAAAATTGGAAAATTTGGCATTTCCTCAAGCGCGGATTAAGAGGTCAATGGATAGAATTTTAGAGATGGCTTGCATCATCGATATTATCTATAGAAGCTTTATCAAGGCTGAATTGTCTCTGGCCGTGACTCAATTTCCTACTCGATGTTGTCCATTTCTCGATGCATTTTGTGAAAAGCATTTATTATTTCTTTTGAAAAAGGGCTAACTATTATCGAACAAAAGGGATCTAGTATTGAATTATTCTCAAAATTTCAATGTTTATATTCGCTAAACTGAAACGAAATGCGCTTAAAGCTTTAACTTTATTGCAATTTATTATTTCAGTTTAAATACGTACTGTACCTAATAATAATAATAATAATAATAATAATAATAACAAATCATGGAACACAAAAATGCAGCACTGCCTAACACAGTTACAACGGGGACATATTTTTCCTATAGTATTCCAGGCTTGGATATTACTCCGGGACCTTTTATTTACACCTTAGTGAGTCAATTTTTAAGTATGATCACACCCACAGAACTGCCTTTCGGTGAGTAGACATTTCTCATTATGTAAAAATCTTGTAAAAATGCTTGCATTTCAGGACAAATAAGGCAACTGTTGCACACAAATCTCACAATCATAGAGTTCGCAACAAACGTGAGTATTGCTTTGTTTTCGAAACATATTCAACATATTTAACAAATAAGATAAGACTTAGTCATCTCTTCGAATTCGAATTGAGTAAAAGCAAACACAATAAACACAGTCAGCTAAAAGTACTAAAAATACCGGTATAATCTATCAATGAAACCAAATTAACTTCAAAATGAACATTGAAAAATTGAAAGTTTTGCTAGACTGCTCTGCAACTCTCTCAAGAGAGTCAAATGCATTCATAGGCACAGTGTTTTGTCATATCCATCACGGAAAGTTGATAGATCTTTCGCAATATCTATAAAAATCAATTTTCATTACCAAGCACAATAATTAAATATATGTCAAAAATAACTTTAAATATCGGTGTCCCTACTTTCGTAGTAAGAGATGAGCTTACCTTAGGTGATTGTAAATCAGAACATGCAGTGATATTACGCTCTTATAAAATGCATGATGGGAATAAAAGGGGGAAAGTCAGTAATCTAGAAAGGCAAGCTGGCAGAAGAGAAAAAAAACACCAAAGTCCCACGAAGCCTGTCCTGCCGAAAGATACACGGACTCATGCCGTAAGCTGTGATCAAGAATGGTACAGTTCTAAATGTAGGTGCAAGTCTGCACTTAGGTTGCAAAGGATTTTCAGTGATTTTCAGAGTGTATCACATCGAAGATATTGCTTAGCTATATTTTATTCATAAGTCAATATTCCGATACTAATAAACAATATAAATACGTCACCATTTAGATTTACGATAATTTCAGTAGTAAAAGCCTACTGTTGACAAAAGTCTACATACGCCCCCTTCTTCAAAATAAATGCTCAAGGTTGTTACCTAAATTTTTTCAATTATTTTTCTTCGTAACTTGTGGCTACATTCCTATAAGAAACAATTTCTTGATATTCAAAACAAAAAATCATGCATGCGCATCGTTCAGGTGTCAACCAATCTGTGACAGTCATCACGCAATAACATATTTTCGTAAGACATAAAAACATGTTTCATTGCCGGGAAAACTCTATCTATACAACTATCGTTGTACTAGTTATACTTACCCATTACCAAGCCTCTGTCATTCTCATCAAAAATCCCAGCACAAATAAAATTCAAGTGGACCACTGTCAACACACACTGATTAATCTAAAAAAAACAAAAAACCGTTCCGTGAAATTCTGAATTGATTAAGCCATGTCTGTCTGTCTGTCTGTTTGTCTGTGTGCTATGTGCTGATCGCAAATATGAAGATATCGACTTCAAATTGGTCGGAGCAGAAGCCCGTAGTGGAGCGTAAACTGAACGCAACTCAGTTTTTCTTAACAATCATTTGTGTGTTGATTTGATATTATTTAGAAATTAGAAAAGTTAGAAAGCTACAATTTTCCATATTTGTGTGGGTTACAAGTTAATTGTGGTGAACTTGCCACAAGTGATGCGGTATGCGAGATTTGGCTGCCGTCGAATATAATTTTTTTACTTGTTTTATGTTTGTTGCGTTATTTGGCATATGAGCTAAACCTGGCTATAAATCTATTTAAACGTTTCATTTATTTTTAACTTTCTCTTTTCAAAGGCAATAAAAATTGAATCTGGATTTATAGTTTTAATGAGCATATTCACAATTCTGGCTCTTGTACCGTTCATAGCCACCTGTGCATGGTGTTGCAGTCGTCGGACGCCAGACGATGATTTTGAATTTAATCGTCATATGCCAATAATTATTGACAATTCTTTAGAAACATCACTTCAATGTCGTAGGAAAGCCTCTATAATCACGTTATGGATTTGTTTCTTGCTATTAGCGTAAGTTATATAAGGAAATTGGAATTGACAATGGCACATTACTTCTTCTTCTTCTTCTTCTTTGTTTTTATTATCATAGTGTATGCGATCTAAGTATATTTTATGCCAATAGCCGTTTGGCTACTACGATTGAAATGACACCGGAAATGGTTAAGTCCACCATACATGATGTGGAAGTCTTTCTGAAGGACACGCACTTGCAAATAAAACATAAACTTGATAACGGTTTTCATGTTTCCATCGAAAAAGTTGTTAAAGACTTGGAAGGTTAACATAACTTTTATTCTCATTCCTATTTCGGTGTATATCCATGTACGAGGGCATGGACATGAATTTATGCAACAATTTCTGTGCTAATGTTTTTAATGGAAAGCAAAAATACATTCTTGTAACATAATATTTATTCTTGCAGATGTTGATGTACTCCTTGGCGAACCAATCCAAGCGGAAATTTCAGCACACACAGGAATCGAGCTTGCGTACGATTCTTTAGCGACAATTACATTAGGTAGGCACAAACAACATATTTTACAACAATCAACAACATTAGTTGAATTAGTATGAATTGTTTCAATTAAATGCTGAAAAGCGGATAACGGTATTTTATGTTACTGGACGTCGTTTACAATCTATTACTGTTATATGATTATTATGCATAATAGTCTATGTTTATCGTTAAATTGAATAAAATTTTACAAAAAATTTCTAGCGAACGCTGAGTTGATTTACAGGGTGCTTATGCTACAAGAGACAGTAGGACGAGCCTTGAAATTGTCACAGGAAGCCGCGGTACGTATGGAAGAACTTCAAATTCAATTGTCAGTTTTGCAGCGACAGTGCACGTACCGAGATCGTCCGCTCTGTGATACACTGCGCATACGTAGCTTTGAGGAAAACGGTCTTATAGATGCTTTAAAAACGGTAAGACCGCATAATGCTTTTATATATGTATTTATGTTATGTAATTATCATTTTGCATAAATCACCATTGCACATATCGATTTGCCTCTTAATATTAGCCTCCTGTGCTACAGCACAGCGAATGGGAAATAATGGCGGAGGCAACATTTCAACTAAAAGCAGAAGACAAATGTAAAGAAAAGAAAGCTTCATCTACAATAACTATAAATTAGATCGAACACATTTTTTATCACCATCGTAATATTCTCTGTCAATTTAGTTTCCCGTCCGTCTCTCCTCATCTCCTTAAGCCGCTATTAAAAAACTCAGATTCACAACAATTAAGACAAGAATGATACAATTGCCTATAGTGAATAGGGACAGAATTCGAGCACGGATTTAATCCGCTCTTAGTCGATCCTACGATAAAGAACATATTTTACCTTGAAATTCAAAGCCAGTATTGATGTAAAAGCGCATCGCAAAATTTTGGAGATCAACAAGCTTGCTAGAGGATACATTCATACTAAACTTTTATTGTTCGCTTCTCAGGGATATAAATCAACGAATAGATATAGAATATATGTAACTATGTACACATCGATGTTATTCAAAAATCGAAATAGAAGGCTTAAGCATGAGCACTCATGAGTTTTATCTTGAGTTCATAGGCCGGGCTTGAATTTTTATACTATGTCTCTGTTCAAAAACGTTTACACTTAGATGGAGGGTATTGAAAGCTATAGATGAAGCTTTTTTCCGTTACTTGTATCGAAATAATACCACGATAAAGTGAAACACAAATACTACGTAGATGTCTGTAATTAAAGAAATACTAAGAATTTCAAAATCCACCATTGAGAACATATAATAAAGTATATTTAAAAATCTTACGTGTTATGGCATGGTGGCGGTTTTGCAAAATCAAGTTATGATCACATTAACTTACGCGTTTTTGCTCACATAATATTGAATACATTTTTCTTTCTTTAATCGTCAGTTACAAGAAGATCAAACCATATTTCGTATGCGTTATTTGGGTGAAATCGAATTTGGATCAACTATACGGAATTTGTCCTCAGAAGTCGGAATGTCACGTTCAATATTTGGAAATTTTCCTCAGCAAGTAAAACATGACACAGCATACGAGAGAAATTGTAAGTGGTGCTAATCATAAAAGAAACAGACAAAGATATGTCGATTGACACAAATAATTTATATATTATAAGCTAGGACCGACATTTTCTGGCCGGGCGGAATTAATCGTTGAATGTAGCGCGAGAAATCTATCAGAAATATATATATTATTGTTATTATTGTTATTATTAAAAATTTCCCCAGAGAATAAATTCTAAGACTAAAGCCTTAAAGCACTAGCATATCTAAGGCTCTTGGCTTTATTAAAAACTCTACCGCACTTGAGATTTGAACCCATTGACCATTGAGTAGCTAGTCGAGACAATTGCCTACTCGGTCACTCAGGCGGATTAGAAATATGCGTAACATTTATTTGGCGCGAGCCTGTTGGATCAGCTATTGCTCAATATTAATCCGGAAGTTGATACTGCATCACACAAGCCTTTAGTCTGAACATAAACGTTGCAATCACTAAATAAAATTATGCTTTCTTATAAGATCGACGACTAATCGAGCTCATAGGCAAAGTCATTCATACCTCTCTTTCTGCTCGGGTTATGAACGCATATATAATCCAACATTTGGGCGCCGATATAGATTTTAACGTTGTTCTACCATTTTAGCTGTGTTTAATAGACATGGCAATTCTTCCATTTCTCCTCAAATTACTAGCTTTTTCGTAGCATATTAATAATTAATTATATTAATTAATTTTATAAAACTTACTATATATGTTCGACATAAGTTAAGCTTCAAACTTTAAGACAACATCAATCAAAGGGTAGCAAAGCTGGCACTTTTTGTAATCAATGTTTGCATTGTGGAAGCTTCGTATATATAGACAGCAACAATAACAATACTTACATAGTAATTTTAATTGGCCATTCAATATGCCACATTTTCCTTACATACCCAAGTCATATATGCATTGAATATATTTTACTCAAAGCTGAGTGATTCACACGAACCGCCGTTCTCCTCTTTTCATTTTCTTTACACGACTGAAATTTTAAGCAAACGTGAAAGTTCTAACAAACTTTGGGGTTTTGTTCGAGACCTCCAGCGCTACACCGCATGATGATCAAGAAAAGACTCCTTGTGTGGTTTCTGAATTTATTTTTTAGGTGTTTCAAACATTTAGGCAAAATGATTATACGTCCTTCGAGGGATAGTTATAAAAAATGTATACAAATAGTCATTAAGCCGCAAATACGCACAAGTGAAGTTCACTGAAAACAACGAAATTCAATGAAACAAAGCTTTCTATATTCGGGCTGGACTGACCTTAAATACCCTACGCCACATCGCCTAGTAAAGTTCTTCCTTTATTCTCATCATAAAACGCCAAAAATGATACCTTGTTGTGAAAGCATACTTTTCATGAGAGCCACGCTATATAGCGTCGGATCTCAAAAACAGACTTTCCTAGTCCCAAATTGTTGTTGCGCGAACTGATTGGCCCTTTTATCGTACGGTTTGCAACGCATAGATAAATGTAAAGTGTCCCGTTCCAATCCAATCCAAGCCATTTTCCATAGGGTTTGCCTTTGGTCGATAACAAGTGCGTGAGTTAAAATACCTAAAAAATTGCAGACGGATGGACGAACAGATAAGCTAGATAGCTGAATGGATTCAGTAAATGTTCCTCAGAGTAATAAAATCTGGATCCATATTCAATTCTTCTTTCGTATATGCCCTATACTATAAGCGATGGGCGGTACTGATATGATATTACAATTTTTTTTTTTTGCTTAATAATCTGCAGATTTTCTTTCTATTTAATAGATACTTTCTTATCCCTGTTTAATAGATACCTTGGAACAATTGGAAAGCATTCGTTTTCGCACGACTGCAAATGCTCAGATGTTGACTGCAACTATAAATGCGCTTTTAGAGCGTTTGCAGGGAATCTGGGAACGTTTATTCCCTTCATACCTCAGACTACAGGAATGGTCAAATATTTATTGGACCATTGGTTGGGTGACGGCGTTAGTGATCATTTGGATTGTTCTATTCATGTTGATGTCGTATTGTTGTTTTTTATGCGATGCAAATGTCAAAGCCGGTATCGTCCTATTTATTGCCGTTATTATCGTATGCATCAGCAGCATTTGCATAACACTATATGGTGTTGTATCTCTGGCTATAGGTGGTAACGCTGAAGTGTTTCTTTGTCGTCCGTTGTATGACGACAACAATGATATCAATAAAATGGTCATGAGTGCCCTGCCAGATAATGACAATCACAAAGCGTACGACATGCTGAGTAAGTTATTCGACAAACCCGGCTACGTTTATGCAGACGAGCCGCAAACTAGCATTATTGGCGAGTTACTACGGCCAGCTGGTGTGAACCATTCCGTTGTAAACGTTAGTCTGGCTACAACTTTGAGGTGAGTCACATACTTCTAAAAGCCGTTGATTTCTTATTTATTTTGTATTTATTATGTAATTTAAAATGTATGCTTATGTGTCCTCCTTAGTTTTGACTCGAATCGATCTCTAACATATCTTGTATATGTTACACGGCTGACATTTTCGCAACAGATTTCAAATGAAAAAATTACGATAGGGCAAGGTGGGCCATTAAATACGCTACACCACATCACCGAATACAATTGTTTATTAGTATTTCTACCCCTTTTGGTCATAAGGCGCTAAAAATTGGACTTTATTGCCACGTGAAGGCTTACTTTTCATAAGCATTTTCTTGTGAGGGATGAGGTTTTAATTAACTAACCGTGTCAATTGAAAAGCGCTTCGTGAATTAAACCATCCGCGTCAACCATTCTCTCTCTCATCGCTGGCTCGATGGATATCTGCCCAAAAATATTTGAGCTGTCAGCTTGTTCGCTTACAGCAGGTGTTAGTGTAATTCGATTCCAGATTCCTTTTTCCCATACGAATAGAATGCAAAAGCGTTGCAAATTCTTGCACACAGTACTGCATTGAAAGTTGTCCAAATACGAGAAAAGTACAGAGGCACGTGAACTGGCATCAACTTCCATTTTCAAAAGTAAGACAACATGGTTTTGCCCATGCACTACGACAATAAAAACTTGCTTATCTTATTTGGGGGTAAAGGTAGGTGGTAGGACACAAAAGACTTGGCCATAACCGAATAAAATTCTCTTATCCGGTATTTTTATCTTTTATGAAAACACTTTAGCTTAGCTAATAGCATTTTTGTGTTGCATAGGGTGCATGGATTATACATTTTATTTTGCAATTAACTTTTAAATTAATTAATAAATAAATTATTTGGACTTGCTTAATTTTTGAGCAAACTCTGCGATACTTTAGCACATAACATATTCGTAAAGAGTATCACGTAAATCAAGTTTACAGTTTATACAAATGTATGCTAACATAAAGTATGTCCCATTTTATAGTAATAAACCTTAACTGTATCTTTTGATTAATTATAGTATATACATATTTGTACATATTATTTAGAGATGTGAAAAAATTAAATTAAACACGATTGTTGTTGTCTGTGCAGTAAATCAAAAAGAAATGGATAAATTTATATAAACGAAACCTAATCAAAATGTCTCGCTCTCGATTATACTTTCCCCGTAAACCATGAATAAATTCCCGTGCGGTACATCACTAACATAGAGGTTGTGAAAAAAATGAGCCGTCATATAATGTGTTTCAATTGGACGCGTTCGTTAACACAACAGCCATATCGAATTTGAAGCAATTTCCCAAGGTTACAAAGGCTATTGATTCGATTGAAGTTTCTGAGCGCACATTGCTATCGCTAACACAGACAATACAAAACATTTTAGAGAGTATGCTGCAAATATCTTCCTTTAATTTAACTGCCTATCGCGCTACCATCGGTTCTCCGACACCGGAAAAGGACTTAGCAACGTTTATTGAGCAAATGCAAAGGGTCGCGCTACAGGTAAGTAATATAAAATTATCCACACATTTTTCACTCTTTCCTACACGTACTTGGTATTTTCACGACTTGACTTGACAAACTTACAAATCCGAATACTGCAAACCCAAATTCTTTTTTGGGAGTGTATAACTGCTAGGTACTTTAAAATTTCGAAACAATTTCACTTAATGTTTGTTCACTTATGGAATTGCATTGAGAGCAGCTTTGAATTCTTCCTACACGAAACACCACTCGGTTAAAATATACGTAATTAAGTGTCGTAGAGCTTTTATGTGTTCTGTGTGTAGGTTGTGTAACTTTGAGTTGAGACGCTTGCATAGCTTGTGCAGAGCATTCGTTCCTTACTTCTATTATATTGAAAGCATGCGACAATCGGTTTTTGTCTTAAGCGGAACAAAGCTTTTTTTGTTGTTATTAGCGATCACGGGTGAACTATCGGTGCGAAGTTCTTACCGTTCCCATCCGTGGTCCGTTTACCTATCCTCTGCAATCTGAAAATGCAAGCATTACATGACAAAATCCAAATCATGAGAAACTTTATGCCACACCAGGCAATTTGCTAATAACTGAAACTGAAATATCGAATTACTTAACGTCTAGAGCACGTATCAATCTAAAATTCACCAGATTGTTTCACCACATAATTTCTTCAATCGAGTAATGACGACCGACAAACACACAGTTAGAGAAAAATGTTCGGTTGGAATGGTGGAATGAAGAATTCGCCGCGAAACGACTCTAATATTATTACTTGTCCTTTTTTTTCTTTCCTTCCGCAGATTCAAGATGTGGCAACATCGTCACGCATGACCACGCTTGGTAGTCGTTCGAAGCGTTTGCAGGCATCCATATTACAACCACTGGAGCAGCAACAAAACGAGATTTTGTATCACTTAACAGCACTAGAATTACAAAGAGATCCGTGGGCTAAACAAGTTAATCAGACAATGAACCATCTGCGCAATGTTCAAGAGTATTTAGAAAAGACAGTCGGTGAAATTTGCCACAATCAAACGCGAATTTATACTGAACGGTTCGTTAATATTAAAGATGCTCCCAAATGTATCCATCCACCTTGATATATATATATAAAGTATATTATCCTGTATGAAGCTTGCTTCAAAGACTTCCCAACAAATGTGGGCCGACTTATTCCTATCGGACGATCTGTCGAAAGTAATTTGTACAAAGCAAACAATTGGAAATTATGAAACTTAAGAAACATTCGACCACACCCACATCCTCAATTCGGAAAGTAATAAATCTGTACAGGAAGGGTGTTTTAAACTTTAGATTATTTTGACCATATGAGTGTAACAGCTATAGACCCCAACCTTCCCTTTGGCAGGAAAACTAACGTAACACTTGAGTGTCTTTCAATTTGGCCCGAAATTCCTCTCAAGAAGTAAAGATAGTTTTTTCAAGTATTTGAAATTTCAGATTAAAAACATATCTAACCAACAGTAAGGCTACTATGTCATCGCAATTGGGCGATACGACAGCTAAATGTCGGCCTTTCTTCGACATATTTGATGCCAACCGTATATTTATTTGTCGGAATGCGGTTGATTTCATTAATGCTTTATGGTTCTGTACGTTCCTGGCACTTCTTCTATGGTCCATTGGTACGCCAGTGGGATTGAATATGATCACATTGCAGAGAAAAATGAATTCCCTTAAAAAGGCAAAAATGTGTGCAGTTCAAAGGGCGGCTGAACGAAGGGATTCACCGAGAGATACCGGACGAGGGCGAAGAAAAGAAAGAGACTCCAGCTCGTCCAGGGATAGAAGCACAAGCAGTGCTGGACGACAAAGACCACAATTGTAATATAAAATGAAGAACGTAAACCTTTAAGCAATAGATTATATTTGAAATTGTAGAAGACGTTCCGCTACAGAGGAAACTCTCGATATAGCCGAAGAACCATCGTCAAGTCGAGGTCAGCCTGAACGGCATCAGCGTGAAAGAGAGAAATCGAGAGAGAGAGATCGAGATCGTGAAATAAGTAGAGAGCGGGATAGAGAAGGAGATCGTCAAGGCCGTTCACGTGAGGCATATCGTCGCAACCTGTAAGTACGACTTTGTTTATCTGTATTTTACGCTCTTTTTTTAAATTCATTTTTAGCTTTGACTAGAGCATATTTCCACTTATTGTATATACATAAATACTAGATGAGCATCTTTAACGTGCTTGTCTCTTAAATTCACTTGTAGCTCTTTAATTGAACGCACTAGTAAATGCGTATATTTGCCCCGACAATAAACAGCAATACAATGCAAATGGATTCAATTCCGTCCGCGTATAGCTAGCATGGAAAAGAGAAAATCTCGCCAAATTATTTTCTTTATTTTTTGATCGAAACTCCCTGCCATGGTACATACATTTCCCTCTTTCAGCAAAAGGATAAGACATGAAATATCAAAGCAAAATAGATATTTGTACTAAAAACTAGGGAAACTTAGCATCGTACACGTTCGTGACTTGCACTGAATGTTTTTTTCCAAATTTTAGTCCATTTATGTATTTTTTTTTTTGCAAACGAATTGGTTCATTCTTACTATTGACCGTTAGAGAAAAGGCAGGAGCGCATTTGTTCGATTTAAAAAGGTGCTATATCAGTTATTCAACCTGCATATATATAAATCATTATACAGTCAATCCTTCCTCTTTATTTTCTATCAACGTAAAGAGCGTATCAAGGCGCTCGGCCAGAAGATAGGTGGGGTTCCTCTGGACCTAGACGTGGCACATCCCATGAGCCCGAGAGTAGTCAGTCAAAAGTCGTAATAAGAAGTAATAGCATGCAACAGCAGCAACAGCAACGACAACCAAATTTAAAAACGAAACCTCCTTTGTAAGTAAGATAGAAAAATTTTGTGTCAGAAAGTCCTCTTCATCCTAAACGATCACCTTTTTTCTATTTTAAACTTCTACGGCAAATTTAACTATCAATAGACGTAAGCAGGGCACCGAAGAATCGGAATTAGAACAGGAACAAGATTGGCAGTCTTCCCCATCGCAGACTAGCCGATTCAGACGTAAAGAACGGCAACCGACAACATCTGAAACACCTAGTCCAACAACACCTATTAAAATTAGACGTTCTATGACCCCTGTTTTACACACAAGACCAGATGCACAACCAGCTCAACCTTTGCCGAGGACACCGACACGTTTGAAAAATCGCGTTTCTTTAACTACAAGAGCTGTAGCCCAAATAACCAAAGTCAAACATACCAGAACTAAAGGACTGTAAGTAACTAACGAAATAATGCAATTGCGGCGAAAGTGATCAATTAAATAGCTTTGTAGGACACGTAAATTTCACAAATCTCACAATTATCAAAAAATGTATCCAAACGATTTCTAACAAATAAAAAATATCCGACTCAACATATATTATTCCCGGCCAGTCACTAATTTGACAGATTACATAGCAAAAGCAACAGGTAGCAATAGTCATCTTAAAATCAATATTCAAGAGCCATTACTTCAAACATTTTTTACCTTTGGATATATATAGTGTTTTATCAATTTTTGCCAAAATCTTCCGCTGTCTTAACTTCGTTATAGAAATCAGAAAAGGTTTGTCGAACTAAAGTCAAAATTGCTCACCAAAATTAACCTCTTCTCTTATTTTACACCACACAAAGAATAAACGAATGAGTTGGCGTTGCGAATTGTCTTCAGCATTGAGCAATAATCAATCAATCCGAGTTCGCTAAGCACAGTTCCACTCATATTTTCATAGCATTGCTGATTTCACATAGCGCAGAAATAACTCACATATTTAATTAGTCTGTAAGTAAGATTCCTTGTGACTATGGTGGGATAGACTTTCGCCAAAGACTCAATCGAACAGCTTTAAAAAATTGAATATTATATTTATATACGTGGCAATGGAAATAATCTCTGAAAACCCATAAAATTCTTCGCTCCCTTATACACTTCAAATAAATGCATTTAGCTCCCGCAAAAGCAGACACATCACATCCCATCGATTTAATCATATTGGAAAGATGCGAAATGAATGAATGCACAAATGAAATTAACCCAACCAGGGCAAATTATAATTCTAAACGTAGAGTCAAATGCGCACAAATCTAGCGCCGATTCATCTTGAAATGAATGCACAAAAGTTTTTCAAAGTTATAAGCAACGTAAGTGACTTACATAATCATCTTTATCGAATTCAATACCGACGAATCTTTTATCGTCCCATAAATATATAAACGACAAACACACATACGCATGATTTATCTTACTTGTTAATTTTCTATTTCATTATCTGTATAGTGTTTTATAGACGATTGCAAGATGCTGTGTAATATAGTGTAATGTATTGCCAAAGACTGTAATTTCTCTGAGAAACTATACATCAACCTACTATGACTATATCCTTCAAATTATTGTTCACTTATTCCCTCACTTAAATTCGCCAAAAATATTTGATTGACTTTGTCTTGGGTGATCGTGTGTCTGTTAAAAATTGCGATATGGTAAATGACCTGAACTTCTCTCTGGTAGAAAAATTAAAACCGGCATTTTCCAGTATTTCCAGTTACAAAATAAATTTATTTACTGGAACGAAAAACTCATAACAATTGATCTTTTAAATATTTCTTTCTTTCGTTTACTGCAGTTTGTCGCTCTTCGTATTTACATTATTGGTTTAGCATACCGTTTGAATTATGCGGCAATAGGTTTCAGTAACTTAACTGGCAGGGAGCAGACGTTGGTTGGTTGGATCGACTAAAGCGGTAACCAGGCGTGCTTTAGTTCAATTTTCATGATAAGTCGGTCAGATTGTTGTTTAATATCCCTTTGGTTTTTTTGCTAGCGTACTTTGGAAGCATTGATCCGTCCTCCCTCTGAGATTGCTCGCTTCACGTATTTATGCGTTAAACAATGGATACAAAGAAGTTTCCTTACCTTTGCTAAAGGTCTAAGACGCGCGGTACCTTTTGTATAGGTATGTAGTCGCTCACCAAGCGAACTTAGAAAATTAGAAATGTGTAGCAGAGATCTCACAAACTATTCAAGTTATTCAACTAAATGTTAAACTAATCTTATGAATTACTAATTAATTTTCTGACACTTAGAAAATGCAGCTTTAGTTCTATGCTTGCAAAAAGGGCCAAGCTACACACAATAGCTAAAAAAAAAATAAGAAAAATCCAAACAATTGATGAGACATGCAGTTGAAACTTGTCTCCAATACCTGTGGCAATTGCACAATAGTCGCTAATATTTGAACGATAATCTTTTCGGATCCTTGCTCGATTCAAAGCACTAGTAATGTCTCGAATCTCTTTTCTATTTTATTAATCTTTGCTTCTGTTTACTAATTTTATAAAAATTGCTCATACAATTTAAAGCAAATTAATTTATTGATTTACTTCTAAACTTCGTAGATTTGATTTTCATATCAATTCAAATATTTTTTAATCAAATTATATATTTTGCGATATTTAAGAAAAAAGTTATTATTTTTCATTCTCGAAGAAAATCTTCTGAATGCTGAAATAACCGAACCTATAAGTTGACAGGCATTGGTGTGTTTCTTTCTTTTTTTGCAGACAACGTACTGGCACCGAGGAGTACGATTTAAATGAAAGTGAATCATACGGAACATCCAGGTCGAAAACCGCAGCGTTAGAAACGTAAACGTTTTAATAAGATCTAAAGACATTTCGATATAAAGATTTTAATTACTTCACAGTGCCCGCAAAACTCCGCCGCGCTCAGCACCCCCACCGCCACCGCTTCCAACAAGCAGGTTCTATCAACGTTTCTAATTAATATACGATCAGCGCTCTTAATATACAAATTTTTTATTGAATCTTCTATTTCTTTCGTATTTTTTCTTCTTTTATTTGAATGCCGAAAACACAGATTTCCCGCCTCCCAACGAACTGTCCGTTGGAATACGGACGACGACGAAGAAGATTTAGTTTTTGAAGCATGTAATTAATCAATACCACGCTTGCACGAAACCCCATTCAAAACAATCGAATGACAATCGAATCAATAAATTATACAAAAGTTCAGTAAAGCCAATTTTTTATTACACACAAAACCTATTTGCTCTTTTATTTTTTATATTTAATAAATTCTTGAAAATAACGATGTGAACGAAAAAGGCCGAAATTAGGTTAGGTAGGTAAAATATTACAAAAGGATTTGTGCGAAAAAGTGACAATTTTTCAATAACATATATCTCCGTCCCGCTGCTCTTTGAAAATCCGTATAGTTTGCTTTCCACCCAGCAAAAACAATAATCGTTCGAACGCTAAATCTCTACCAAATTAAAAATTCCAACTCCAAGCAATTGTTATAGTTTCCGAAATACGCATCGCATGCGAGATCATTGCTCAGTTTTCAGTGGAACCCATGTTGGTAGAGTTTCAAAGGCCGGTAGACACCTTCTTAAGGACGACAAACACGATCAGTGAGTTCTGTAAATATTCTTAATTATTTCTCCTTTCAACTGCGACTTCAAAAGCCACGATAATCATTTTGAAAATTTTTGTTGTATGCTAATTGGATTGCATTTTCAGTTTCTTCTGAAACCAATAAATATTTGTTAGAGTCAAGGTCCACTTAACAGATTCTTCACTGAGTCCACCAATTGCATAAAGACTGCAATAACAGAATTCTGGGATGTAGAAAATTTTCTTAAAAAGAGATAATTTCGAAGAAATGAGACAAGATTACGAAACTTTCTTCTAATCGAAAACACTTGCATTTCTTATTGTCGTAGAGGCTAAGTAACAAAGGATGCAGGCAACCTACTTGCTCCACCTTTTATTTGATACCCAATAATTGATTCCGTTTTCTATTCAAATATAATTCAAACCAAAACCTACTCCATCAATATTATCCTTCGTCTTCGTCGAGACCCAATCTGACTAAGATTTTGGTTGTAGCGCAGCCCTTAGATGCAGCGCAGCAGTTGAGTGCAGCGCAGTCGCCAGTGGGCCGTGTTGTTCTCTTGGGTTGCACCTATAGACCGCAGTTTTAAAAATATTGCAATGAAATACTGATGGTATACTGACGTGTTTTGGCCCAAGGAGAAACGCTGTTGCAAATGGCACACATCGGACTACTTTTTCGACCTCTTCCCATATAACGAATTATATCATATCATCAGTTATATGTATAACTGTAGGGTTGTGTAGAGTATTTTATAGTGGACTGCGACCCGTTATTCAATTTTTTTATCAATAATCCAGATCTCTTGGTCTAATTTTCAAGACTTGGAACTTCTTCCTTACCAAAACTTCAATTGTAAACATAGTAAAACGATCGACGCCATTTACTAACGGAACAACTGTTAATATCATTTCTATTGTCCTGTATTTCATTGAAGATATATATAAGCTCCGAAAAATGCAACTCTGTAATGTAAAATTAGTCTATCACTAAATCAAGGTGTTTAGTTGGCACTACTGGTTGCTTTCATTTAGTCAGCGAATAATTGTAAAAATTTGCAAATAATCGAGGCGCAGGGAAATAATTGTAAATTTATTTAACGTAACGCATATGAAAATTGTAAATGTAATTGAATAAGAGCTTAAAACTTAATAATTAAATGTGAAAAATTGTAGAATTAGTCATTTGAAAAAATTGAACAGAATAACAATACAATCTTGTTTTCTTTGTCTCATACTTAAAATCAAAGTCGATTGAATTGTCAAATGATTTGTAAGTGAATTTTGATAAAAATGAATGGGAATTAATTTGTATTCATCCTACGCTTTTAAATTTTTCTACTAACTAATAAAACCAACTTTCTCAGCATTCGTCATTAATATGAAATTCTTTTTTTAAAAAATAGCAAGTGGTTCAACGTCCTCCAAAGAACATACATATAGATACATATATGAATGTATATATGTTTACATTATTCAAAACAAGCGATTTGTAGTTTTTCATTACCAATTTGTAATTTTTAGTATCCAACTTTAAAGCCAGTTAGGAATTCGAAATTAGTAAGTGAATTATACCAGTTTACTCAATTTTGGCATCGTCTTATAAAATGGCAGCAATAAATGCAAATTTATATTAATAAATATTTTGGTTTTTCTTATCTCTTTCTTGCTACAGTTTCCTTACTGTTGTTCTTTAAAAGATGGTTTTTTACTATGCGCTTAACTAGGATAAAAGTCTTTCATTCATTTTTGGAGTTGCATTCATTTTGCATGGCTTACAAGTTAGGATGTTGAACTAAATGCACTAAAAAACTTTTGAAACCTTTTTATCTATTTTAATCTTTATTAACAGTGTATTTTCTCTTCAAATGTTTGAAAAACCTAAATATATAACTTTTGTTTTTATAACATAAAAAGATGTTTCTAATTATTTACCAAGCAATATTTAAAATAAAAAAAAACGTTTCGTTTGATCGTAAAAGAATTCGATTGTCTTTATAAGGTCGTCCTATAATTAGCCATATTTATAAATTTTCGTTTTTATTTGACTATTGAAATTAACGCACGCAAATTCTAAATTCTGGCCCGGTTCCTCAAAATTCAATTACGTTGAATTTAGTAATTACAATATTTCTTCTTCTTTGACGGACTTTTAGAGACATTAAAGCAAGGAAAACACTTCATCGAGTTTTTCGGTTTTTTTTTTAAGGGCCTTTATTAATAAGCCACTATTACTAAAATAATATTGAAACCATTAGAACTTTCTTACAGTATTTCTAGCAAACAATGCTTGGTTTATTGGGATATGCTAATGCCTTTATTACAATATGCTGATAGCAATAAAATATTTGGTATATAAGTCATAAAGCCGGAAAGCGTGAAAGACGACTCTCAATTTATTTGCGTGTGTGGTCTCGCGTGGTTATATGTATATTTTACCGCATTAGTTGGATTTTTTACTTTCAGCTTTACCTTCTATCTTTCAAATGATTCAAACGCGATTACTCGACTAATTCCGAGTGCACAAAGACGGTGGACATTCATTTTACTTTGCTTGTAAGCGAAATTCAGGTGTTGTAGAATTCCAAATGATAAGTCGTTTTGACCCACAGATACTTGTTGCTCCTATTATTGATTACGTCATAGCATAAAAAAATTAAAATAAAAAGGAGACCATGAATAAAGTCTCTTTTGGTAATTATTCTATTCAACTAATACAAACGGGCAGCGTACATGTTCAACTTATAGGCGTGATTTTTTAATTTTGTTTACTTTGTGCACAAGCTTTTGAAAAGCGGTTACTTGCCTTTACGGCACAAGAATTGGCGTATTTATTGTTGAATTTTCTAGGAGAAAATAAATCAACCGATTTACTAGAAAGAAGCAAGCACAAATGATAATGTGGAAAAACGCTGTCCTTACTCCGGCGATTCCTGAATATTCCACCCCGTTGTAAACATTTAAATATGTATGGTTGTGTCAACAAAGAATATAACCATCATGAATAAATGCACTGCATATATATGTGACTGCAATTTCCGTACTTTCACAATATTGTATCTCTCATCATGCTATATAAAAAATTTACAGTTTTACTTTATTTTAAAAGTGTGCTTCAGACTTCGATGCGAACGAGGGATACAACACAAAGGAACATAAAATGAATGCTCACAGTCGTACGTCCAGCGAAATAGAAACAGTTCCATATTCTGATATTTTGCCAGTATTTACGCCGCAATTTTGCAGAGATTTTGAATTCAAGGATGTGCAACACTTCTTGAAAGATTTACTGAAGCCTGAAGAATTTCGTTACATTGCCAAAGAAGTAAGACGCCGAATTAAAAGCATACCTCTAATTTCATATTTATCGTTCTGCTTAATTTCCTTCGAAGGAAGGCAAAGCTCAGATATTCCATATGCTATGGGTTCTGCAAAATAAGAGCGATGCAGATATCATGAGTTTTTTGAATTGTATCGCTTATGATTACAAATGGATTGTTGATGAAATTAAAAACGCTTTGCGCGATCACAGCTCTGTTACTGAAGAATATTTGGAGACATTAAAAAGAATACGTAATGATCATCAGAATTTTACGGATTTCAATGTACATCGCACTAAACCTGTAAATATTTTTTATGTATGTAAGATGTGCTATTTGTTTTGAAGTTTTTCTCTTTTCTGTTTTAGTTTATGAAATTGCGTGCGGCCTTGCGTTCTTTAAACCCGAAAATTGGACTTGCGAGTGTCGTTCTTCTCGGTGAACTAGGCAGTGGTAAAAAATGGTTGGCTTTAGATGTCTGCTCCGAATTTACTGTTCTACAAGCCATGAATTTTAAAATATTTCATATTGATACGAAATATTGCGATAGTCCTGATGAGGATTTACATGCTTTGAATACTCTAATGCTGAAACTTAATCCAAATCATCATTTTACACTTGAAGGTCCTTCAAAAATTTCATATAAGATACTGCATTTGCAAGAACGGTTACGTGAACTTCTAAAAGCTAAGCAATTTCTCAATTGTCTTTTGGTTTTGACAAATGTGCAAAATATTAAAACACTGGAAGCGTTTAACTTGGGTTGCAAACGTTTGATAATTACGCGCAATAAGAAAGTAAGCGAAAAACTATCTACTAAAACGAATAAGCATTTCAACTTGGAAGAAGGCTTGAGTTTTACTGAGTTTCGTTTGCTGTTGGACAAATACATTAAAAAGTATGATTGGCGAGAGTTTGCTACCACAAACGAAACCGATATCTATTATCTTAGTAATGGCGATCCATATTTATTGAGCATCATAGCAAAACATCTGCGTGAAAAAAAATCAAATTGGTTTCAATGGAAGAAATACCTAGAGAATTTACAGTAGGTTCTTAAAAACCCTTAGGCCAAGTTCATTTTAGACAATTAAAATAAATTCCGTTTTAGGATACCGGACAAAAAATTTAAACGCGACATTGAAACATCCTTAGAAGTTCTAACACAGGAGCAAATGCGACGGTATGCGGTGTTTGCAATTTTTCCCCACTGCGTCGGCATACCTGTTAAGGTGAGCCAAAACCATTCATAACTATTTCCCCATCTCTATATTTGAATAATTTGACAAGAACATTAATCGAATGTGCGACTATTTCAAATCTATAGGGTGAACATTATTTCCTAATTAACTAAGGAAAATTTACTGTGTTGCTGCATCACTCCATGTTGGACTTAAACCATATTAGGGAAACGTGAGGGGATTCATAAAGCACATATGTTCTTCAATATAAGCAGAGTGAATTTAATCAATTTCTGAATCGTCTTAAACACGCCCATTTTTTTCTTTGATTCTTTGCTTTGGTTTGTCATGGAAAAACTTTTAAAATTACAAACAGATTCTTTTTCTTTACATGTTGACAATACGGTTGCTTTCAAGATATGGCAACCACGTCAACCGTTAAACTTTTATCATGAAGAAGAAGAAGAACAAAATTATTCATCTGTTCACACATTTCAGTTAAAAGTTACCCTTCAGAAAGCATGGATTCTCAGGGCTCTTTGTCAATAGTAATTAACTTTTCTGTTAAAAGTAGTCAATTCCTCTGTTAAAACGCATTTACATCTAATGATGTCGAAAAATGATTTGCACTAACGACTATTTTGTATGACGAGATATAGTTTTTTTATATATCAATCGTATTTAATTTTCGCTTATTTTTAATTAAAAAAAAAAAAATTTTCTATTACCCCACAATCAATTCCACCTTTATACCCAACAAATGTTGAGAAAATCAAGATCCAAACCTTTTGGAGTATTCGCCTTGGCCTTACGATTGCAACTCAGCAATGGATTTTAAAGAAGTCTTCTTCCCCAATCCTCAATTGTGGACAAATTCTAACTATAAAGCACATTCTCTCTGACTGTCTTAACTTTTCCTCTAGCCTAAACGTATTGCATTTGGAACGATTAACCCTATAGACATTCCACAATCAGCTACAGAACAGAATATCAATAAAAATATTACTTTATTAAAACTATTAGGCTCAATATGTAATGTGCTTTTATAAATTAGAGCCATGTCTTTTTCCTTTTAGTCTAAGAATTTATTTCATTAATCTAGAATTACAATAATAATAATAATAAAATGCATGAAACTAAGGCGCTAAGAGCTAAGACTATTTTTTTAAAAAAAGTCGACGTTTAATGTAATGCAACGTTATTGCACTGCATCGAGGTTAATATTTTATCTACATTATGTTCTCAAGGTAGTTTCAAAACTTGCATAGAAAAAAGTATATATAATTATTATATATATAAAATATATTTATTTAAGATGTATGTATGTAAGTAATTTTCAAAATATTTTTTTTTCTGTTAAAAATGGTAAAGCAACTATTGTTATATAACCGTCCAATTCCCGATACGGTCGTCCATATCGTTGCCTCCAGCGATCTTAAGTATAAACATGCATATCAGCGCTCTTTGTTTCTCTTTCTCTATTATAGTTAATAGCAAACTTATGGCGGACATCAATACATGACGCCGAAGAAATAGTTTATATATTCTACAAGTATTCAGTTATCAAAACGGATCTGGACGATAACGATACAATGACTTGTCACTTAAGGTTTGCTTACAGTTCTTACCTAAAAACTAGTCCTACTATACAGTCGCTTATTAATCAATTGGAATTACATCGAGAAATCGTGAAATATTACAAGTAAGTAAGAATGCTTTACTAAAACTTAATAGATTTTCCAAATTAGAATATAACATTATTTTTATTATTTATTACAAAAGTGTACGACTATGACAGAATATTCCTAAATGAACGGTCGCTGTTAATACTGCCGTTCTCTCCCCTGTTGTGATGACGTTAGTTGGGAACCGCCCTAGCATCATCTTTGTCGTTGAATTTGATTACATAATTTTTCATAGTGCGAGCTGTATGCCGGTACTAAACCTACTTCGTCAATACCTCCCAACCAATTTTAACCCTTAGAGCTACTCTTTTGGACCATTTCGTTTTTACGCTTGGAGCATTCCCTCCCTTCCTCTTATCATCTATGCAAAATAGTTGATTTATTATTATTATTATTATTAATTTAGCCAGAGAATGAATTCTAAGACTAAAGTCATAAGGCACTAGCATATCTAAGGCGTTCGGCTTTATTAAAAACTCTGCCGCACTTGAGATTTGAACCCAACGACCACTGAGTTGCTAGACGAGACAATTGCCTACTCGGTCATCCAGGCGGTTCATAGTTGATTTATTCTACATAGAGTACATAGAGTCGTGTTTTAGATTGAATTCGTCGGCGGATATTCAAACAAACATGACGCGGTTTAGCATCGCTTTTAAGCTAGTGTTTTTGCTCAGTTTAAACCAGCAATTATGTGTTCAACTGTGTACCTTTATATTATAATATTTTTTCTGCTTTTTTTAATTCCTTTCAGAGTTCATCAATGTCTTGAATTTCGTTCTGAGGTGGATTTATTTTGCGATAAACCTTTGCATGATAAGTATTTCTTCAAGTACATCGGTTTTCATCTACTGGGTGCTGAGTATTTTGATTTATTCCCCAAATTATATTTCGATTTTGGTTTCTTGGAGCAAAAGATGCGGTCGGTGGGCTTACTTTCTTCTGTGGCTGATTTAAAAGATTACAAACGTGAAATTACAAGTTATGATATGTCTCGCGCTCCAAATTTGTTTAAGCATATTATTGATTTTTTGGCTAAAGTGGAGGAAAAAATATATCACATTGCCGATACTTGTTTATTACAATACGCTCTAATGTCCGAAGAGCCAATACAAAATTTAGCATTGAAACAAATTTCTCAATTTCCACGCCGCGCATGGTTTCTAGAAAGGTAAGAAACTAATTATTTCAAGGTTATTCTAAAAAATAACAGAGAAAGTTATAGGCTGCAATGTGATTCCATGTGATTCGTATATTTTAAATTAGGCAACAAAGTGAGTGAAAAAAATGAGTTATTGTTAACACGAAAGGTGTTACCGGAAAACTCAGTTTTCTCTTATTTGCTGCTAACTCAACTTAATCAAGTCGAATAAAAGTATCTCAGGCAGTCTCTGATTTCTTAATCTTTCCTTACTTACTTAATTAATGGACACTGGGCAGATTAATGCTAATAACAGGGAAATCAGAAAGAGGTTTTAGCGGTGCCCTCTTTTCAAGTAAAATTTTACATAAGAAATTCTTCTTAGATTAAAATTCTCACTATACAAAGGGTTCCGCCTGCAAATTTTCCAATAACCAATTTTCTCTTTTCTGAGTAATTACGTTGATGCTAATGATGATGTAATACACATGTTACACCTTAAAAAAAGAACAAAATTGAGAGCTATTAACAAAAACCACTATCCTTAAAAAAGGCGAAGTTATGACTTTAACTACATAGCGGATCTATAGTTAAAAAATTATTTTGAAATCTTCATTTTTAATATTTCTGGCTATCCTTGTCTAATTTCAGAGGTAATTTCCATCAGAGACGTTTCATCGTTAATTTAATTCAAACACCAAAAATTGTACATGTATTAGTGGAAGACTTATGCATTATTGTATTAGAAAACAATGATACTTACTTAGTAGATATATCGCTAGATTGCAGCTGTGGCCCAGTCCTAATTATTAGAGAAAGTATTGTCAACATAATCGATATCAGTTTGTTCGGTCAAGAAAACTTTATGCTAACACTAGATGACCATGGTCAATTGAAATTATGGTCAATTGCGAATGAACGTAAACGCAGTTTAACCCAACGCCGGAACAGTACCAAAAAATTCAATCCTCTTAATTTGTACTTGTATTCCAGTCAAGTGGAAATGAAAAAATGTAAACAACAAATTGACGATATGCCATTATGCAAAAGAGATCGAGTGGTAGCATTTTACATTGAGTTAGTATCGCAATATACCGAAGAAATTTATCTGCATATAGCTTTAAGAAATGGTGACATTTGTGTGCTAGTTTGGAACCCCGATGAAGAGGAATTTCAGCGCAGCTATATTCCAGTTTTACAAACAAATTTCACTAACATACGGTTTATCTGTAAAATGTTGAAAAAATATTATGTATTAGTGAATACGTCATCCGAACTAAGTTTCTGGAACTTGCAAGATTGCTCTAACGTGCCTACCTCCTTTGAATGGCCATTACACGAATCTAGCTTAGTAAGGTATGAAGTTTATAGCGATGTCGGTCCATCATCTTACACTCACTTGATATTTATTTTCACCGATAAAATTTTGAGCCTAGCCTTTCAAAAGCAACGTGTCACTTCTTTAAATGGCGATATGCAAGTGTTATTAGACAACGCTGACTATCATATTACTTGCGCCAAATTATCAGCAGATCGACGTTACCTGATATTGGGCACGAACACTGGGCTAGTGGTCTATGATGTCTGCACATGCAGTGAAATAATGCGTAGCGTTGTTAGTGAACAAATACGATGCGTGGACGTATTCGATTTGGACGATAAAGAATACAAATGTATGATTGTTTGTGGTGTAAAAAATAAACGCATTTTGTATTTGCTTTGCTTACGTAAAACCGGAGAAGATGCTTTAGGTTGGCAACATAGCTCTATTACCGATGACATTATCCTAGAAGAACAAACCAATATAAGACTTTTAGGGCAAAAACTTTTCGACGTAACGTATGATGACTATACCAATTTAATCGCTGCCGATTCAAAAAATAGGGTAAGTGTTACGATTTTAGTTATCTAGATATTTTACGTACTTAATGAACATAATTTTGTTCGTCGTTGGAAGATTCATCAAATTTGCACATCGGATACGAAAAACTGGTCAATTATAAAACCTGCGGGAATAACGGAAAACATTTCGGCAGTTGCGGCATTTAGAAACTGGGCTTTTGTGGGCTATCAGAACGGTGTCATTTTTAATGTAGGTGACGAGTCACGCGTGACGCCGTCTTTTACTAATAACGCCATTAGTTACCTCAAAGTAATCAATGAACGTATCCTAGTAGCTTCTTCTTGCCAAGATGAATTAACGCTTATTAAAGATCTCAATCAGAACATTAATACAAGATGTCGAATTAATACATTGTTTTCCTATTCGGTGCTAGACAATTACTTGATTTTGATAAATAATTATGGTGCAGTGGTGGTAAGAGAAAGCGCAATTTTGTTCACTTTTTTTGTGAAAATGATTAAAGTGCATTTTTACAGGTCTTCAAAGCCAGCCCCAAATTTGATTATATTCATCATGTCGATCCGGAGCCACATTTCTACTTAAGTGATAGCGATTTTCAAAATAATACTTTGTTTTTAGCCTCATCATGTGATTACTGTATACGGGTAAGTTTGTTTATATGCAATGTAATGTAAGCCATACACAAATTGGACGCTTATTCTCACATTTTTCGCTTATTCTTGTATGTGGCCAAATTTTTATACAAATACTTGAACAATTATTCATACACGTTGTTACAGTGATTCCTTTAGGTTATAATCTTTTCTTACACTGGCTGATCAAATTTTCTTTTTATACCCACCACTGTAAAATCGGTGTATACTCATTTTTTTTTTTTCCAATACCCAAAAGGAAGAGACCCTATAAAGTATATATATATATATATGTTCTTGATCAGCGTGAAATTCTAGGTTGATTTTTAAACAATCTGTCCGCCGATCCGGTGTGTGTTGCTGACATTCTCCTGGTGGCAAAAATGATAATATCACCTTCAAATACGGTAGAAACATTGAAAAGGGCCAAATTGGTAAGAGCAGAAGCCCGTAGAAGAAAGCCTCAGTTTTTTTTAATAAAAATTTTTGGATTTTTGCTCGTTACTCGGAAATTATTAAAGTGAGAGCCATGTATAACATACTATGCAAGCGTTAACATATGCCCAATTATAACTATTTTTGCGTTATCATACACAATCCCGGTGGTGAACGTCGAGAGTAACTCATCAGCATATAACGTATGATTACCGAAAAACAGATATAATAAAATAACGGGATGGCAGAAATAGTTCCAAAGGCTTGAGTTATTTTTAAAATATTGCTTATCTTGCATATAACTATAGAACGATATGAAGGACTTTTTAATTTGTTAAAGAAATGAAGAAACTGAAGAAACACTTTCTTACCTTTTTTTACCCTCCAGCATCGCAATGCACATAATACGTTTGGCGGTTGGCGATTCGCTGCCCAAGATTACATGTACTTTAATTATTAATGGCGTATTAATTGGCCATGAACATGTTTTTACTGTTAGAACTTGCGCAGACAACTGATTAGAATAAATAAGTCAAACTCACCACTTTCTAATATTGAAATTCGCTCCAAATTGTGGCAATGCATTATAGACTTCATAAAAGTTCGCGTTGACGAAGTATAGTCGACTTTCCGTTTGCCGAAAAAAATAATAAGAATATAATATTTATTTAGATTGCTCGTTTAAAATACAGATTTTTTCAAATATATTAAAAATGAAATCGATTCGTTATGCTTTTCAGATACTCACATGTCAAAAGTCACCGAATGATGATTTGGAATTGATACAAAAGCATCAATTTAAACGATGTGAAATCGAGTGTAAATTAAGTTGTTTGGCGGCAACTAAAGATGCGTCGATAGTGGCTGTTGGCTTAGAAATTCAGAGCAATGAAAAGACGAACTATCATAACGGTGACATAGAAATATTTCAAGTATTGGATAACTATAATATACAATTTATTTACTGCCTTAAATCTCATAAAACTGCCGTTTGTGATATGAAATTCTCAAACAAAAATGAGGTGCTAGTAAGCATTTCCGAGCAATTGTGCATTTGGAATACAGCTCATGTCCAGAATAATCCATTGAATCGTGATGTATTTAAAAGACGTAGCTCCAGATTTTCATCCCAAAGGAGTTCGGATTTAGAAGAAGTAGATGCTAATGTTTTGTCAAAACAACATAACCGGATGTTTTTGTGCGTTCAAAAGGACACAAGTAAGCTGATAACACCGGGCGGCATCACGACAAAAATAGCAGAGACATCGGATTATTTAAATAATTCGACAGATTCAGTCTTTGATTCACCAAAGATAGGTGGAAGTTGTTGGGAATGTTTCAGTGGCCCTGCCGACAAACCTGAGCTATTGACCTGCATTAAATTTGACGGAAATAAGGCCGAGCAAATATTTACTGATAGAGAGTTTACGCAATTTAACACAATTGATAATGAAGGAGTATTTTACAATCTGACATTATTAACACGCTGCCAGCAAGTCTTTGCAGAAGAAATGCCAGATCAATCGTGCAAAATAATTGCAGGTGACAGCAATTATTTAGATCGACTCTCAGTGATTTCCAATAACTCAGGTTGCGATGTCGTTGATGCTAGCAATACGTGACGCACTAAGTTACACAAATACAATTATAATAATGTGTACAGTACTTTTATTATATGCAAGAGGTTAGTCTCTTATTTTACAAGAATTCTTTCTTACTTCATTATGTACATTTACTTAATTTTAAACGAATTGTGATATATTTTGTTATTAATTATAAGCTATAAATTTATATATATCGTTGTTTATGCAACTGTTAATTCATTTATGTACAACTGAAGTAGAGTGTTTCAATTGCGTAAGTTTTTCTAGTATTCGCGAACAGAAGACTGCAGTTGAAAGAGAACGATATACATGGAAGGACAAATGGATCTGTTTATTATGTCAATCTCGAAGGATTTTGTCAGATTAGACAATTGCTTGGTTGGAGAGTCCATAAACTTACAAAAATTGCGATGTATACCTTTAATGTGCACACATAGGTCTCTATTTAAAAATATTGCTCATCGTCTCAAGCCCAGTAATAAGTCGATTATACTGAGGGATTTTAAGAAATTAAAAAAGCCTTGCACCAATTTTCCAAAACAAATTATAATCCGCTTAGAATTTTTTTGTCTGACGTTACTTGGTATTTTGATCATGAAGACATAAATGGCAACTTTAGTGTTATTTATAACATCCTTTTCTCAGCTATTTTTTTTATCGATTCCGTTAAAGCCATGTCCTACGAATTTCTGTGTGTCTATCTGTCTGTCTGTCTGTCTGTCCTGTCTGCTTTAGTGATCTGTTAAGAATTATACCTAATATAAAAAGCGAGTTATTTAAAAAATACAAACAAAGTCGCTTCCTTAGAGACTTCACGTTATACTCTAGTGTTAGCGGTAACTATAATTCCCTAAAAGAATCGTGCTATGCTAATTTTATTCAATCAATGAGAGGTAAACTTCTCAATCCTCCTCGGTAAATTCTAAAAGCAAAGTACGAGGAGCTTGCATAGGGTTGATTTTTCTAATTCTTCTGTAATAGCTGAGCTTTTTTGCCTGTTTTTTTCGGGGTAGGCTACCATTCATCAAATACTCCGTTTGGTAAGTTCATTTGACATTTTTCAGTCTATGCCCCTCTCTGAAGATGAAGTACTTGTATCGTTGTTGACTTTGAATGTCTCTAATTTTCCTGATCCGGATGGAATTGCGTCTGTTATTCTCCGCTGTTGAACTGATTAGATATGCTTTCCTCTTATGCAAATTTTCAATAACTGCTTGAAAAAAGTTTGCTTTCCATCGGACTGAAAGGCTTGTTTTATTTTCCCAATTTACAAAAACGTACCCAGAAAATGCATTGAGAATTACAGAGGCATCACCAAGCTTAGCGTATCGCCTAAACTGTAAACGTGTGTTATATCCCCCTGTGCGGTTTCTTAAAAGGCAGAACAAGTTTCACTAACCTTCGCAAGTTTTGCATTCAAATTTTCAAAACGTTTTCCGAACGCATGGGACAGAGTGGATCATGGCTTGCTAGATTGTCTTGGTTTTTCGAATAATGTAGTAACTTGGTGCAGTAGCTAATCCACTGGTCGCACTCAACGTGTGTTATTCATTTCTGTCCGATCCAGACCAATCTCTGCTACTGCTCATGTTCCATAGGGTAGCCATCTTGAACCACTCTGACTTATATTATTTATGAATGACCGCCCTGAGTGCCTTCAACACTCCAGGGTGTTCATGTTTGCGGATGAAATTACCCTTTCCCTCTGCTATTACTTATTGTGTGGTGTTAAACTCCTTCCGTATAATCTTGCGAGTGTGCACTTGGTGTGTGACTAACGGGAGGATTTTGAAATCATAAAAATTTAAGCAGTTGTTACTTGCTGGGATTAGTATGTTGTCCTCGTCTTATAAGATTAGTAAACATATTCTGAAAGAAGTGTTAAACTTTAAACATTTAGGTGTGATTTTTCACTTTAAACCTAGGTTTGATACCTATATTGAGGTTGCTGTTAAAAAAGCAAGATCTCTGCTTAAGAATATCAAAAGATGGTCTAAAGAATTCATTGACTACTACGTTACCTACAGCTTGTACACATCTTTAGTTAGCCCATGGCTTGAATATGCAACTGTTGTCTGGCTTTCTAGTTACAGATGCCATGTTGAGCCTTCTTGCGTCTATTCAATGTGGCTTTTTTTGCTTTATTTGTTTTACGTGGTTTGGAATGGAATCCCGCCTTACCTCTTCTACAGTATGAAAACAGACTGAAACGCATAGGATTATCCACTTTAGAAAAGAAACGGAAAATGTTTCGTTTATTCGAAGTCACATTTACACCGTCATAACAACTTTTCCAATTTTGTTTATGAAAAAATTCCATTTTCTCTTAGCACTAAACAATAGCATCTACATGCGTTTTAAATTTAAATTCTATTTCATGAGCATAAATACTTGTAGTCCTGTATTGATTATATATACTTTTGGTTTTCTTTCATTCATTGTAATTAATTGTAAGTTGGCATATTGTTGTTACACTTTGCATACATCCTTGTATTCCAAGTTATTGTTTAATTTGACGCTGTTGCAGATTATGAGTAAATTTTAGTTAAGTTATACTTTAGTTTATATTCGGCTAACGATTTTATCTGCAGCAGAACTTAGTTAATTACATAAGTGAATAAATAAATAAATTTCCATTCCATAAACATCTTTATTACGTATTTTTATGTCATTTGCTCTATGAGTTTTATTGAAGATTTTCTTAAACACGAACTTTTAAATTTGACGTATGTCGTTGTTTATTTAGGACGTTGCGACAAAGAGTGCACATAACCTCATCTATCGTTTTATATGAAGCCACTGCCTCGATTGCGATCGAATTTTCCTGAGCAAAACAATAGAAGACTAGTCTTGCTTGTGGCATGCATTGCGGACTGTGCAATGGATCATATACATGAACTTTTCATACCCTAAATCTCTTGTGATACAAGAGTGTATTAAATTTTTGCGGGTTCTATACAATACACAGAAGCATTTTCGGTGGACTCGCCTTTTATTGGATTTCTAAGCGTGTCTGTGCGTCAACCTGCAGGTTGGAATTTTTGAGATATTTTGATGAAATTTGATACTCTGGCGTGAACGAAGGACACTCCTGAAAATGGTTTGAATTTCGCGCTCTTTTGTTCCACTTTCCATATAAAGTCTTATTGTGAATAGTCTTTAGTTGAACAATTATAGGGTGGAGTAGAGTACTTAGTGGTGGGTCGTTACTTATTTAGTTCTATCATGAGCTGGTCTCGAAATAAAAAAAAATACTATAACATGTGTGTTATATAATTTTACTGATAACGAATATACGTTATACCCATGACTTGACTCAAAAATACTCTTTTATAAATATATTTATGCTAACAGTTGAGTTTTCGAAGTGTTGTACTACTGTGCAATTTCGTGCATGTGATATTTCTGAGCGCAAGTACGTTTAAGATATAATTAATTAATAACAATTAATGGTCTAAATAAATTCTCATTGAATTTTTGATTGTCGAGTATATCAGTTTATCTTACTCTCTCCGTACGAGTATTGAGTACTTCAAAACCTAGTTTTGATGCCTCTTCTGTACTAGTTTTGTTTCCTCTTCTGTAAAGTTAAGTTTAATAATTCGCACAAAGGGTAAAACAAACATTAAAAAAGGGGAAATTTTACCAGTTACCGATGATTATATAGAAATCTTTTTCAATATTTTCCAAATCTGCCGTTCGCCAAAAGTATGTTACATTAAGTAAGTTGTTTTAATAAATTTTGATTGAATTCGATATGCAATCGGCATCAATCTGGTCTTTGCTACTGACCAGCATTCGCAAATATCCGACTTTATCAACCTTTTTTTATATATATATTTTTAATATACAGTCTATTTAAAAATGTTACAAACGAATGCTATGGAAAGTTGATGGAGATGATTGCCTGCTAATGGGAACAACATAGCAATGTAAAGTTAAGGCGGAAAACCAGAGATGTTAAAATATATTAAAAACGGTGTTTAGAATTAAGATGTGTCGAGAACGATGCTTAAAATACAGATGTGATCTTTAAATATGTAAAAAACAACAATACATTTTAAGAAATTTTACTAAAATAATTTGTAAATAAATTTGTAAATGAATGATCCACCATATGATGGCTTTACAAACTTCTTATCTCTTTGGCAAAATGTAGAAGCGAAAGGCGAGTGTAGGCCGAGGAAGGGGGAATTGGAAGGGGTAGCCCGAGGTATCTACGTGATTATTCCATGTGCGAAGACATTTAAAAAAAAGACGTTCAACTAGGTTTTTAACTCAGGAAATATTTAACTATTTCCTATATTCAATTTTAAACGAACCACAGAACGTTAATAGCTAAAAAAGTGCGTCCTATGTTGATATTTTTAAAGTATTGCAATATTAAAGTTACTGGCCTTAAGTTGAAACGAGTTGGTGGATATTCTTGTATCGAATGTATTTATTCTTTAAATTCAGTTGAGAATCTAGACGACCTAGTCGATTGAGTCTTCGGGTTTTTAATTAAAATTCTTGTCTTTTGGTTTTTGTACGATGTTAATTGTTTTTTTTTTTTTTTGTTAGTTTTTTGTTAATTTGGAAGTCAAGATATTTTACACAATTCTTTACAGGTTGTTTCCAATCAAAAAAAAAAAAAAAAAAAAATAGAGGGACAAGAACCATCTAGCGTGAACGTAAATGCAGTTGTGTAAATCTTTCAGCAAATGCGTTCATTTTCCCGTTTTTCGGCCAAAGTGGGATGATTTTTATTAAGTTTGCGGATGGCCTACAAGTTTCACTATATAATAAAGCCTAACATTATACCTTTTCGGTTAGTGCGCACGCAGAAGGGCTTAAGATGGACTCATCTTCTAATATATCCATCGATTCAGAATCATTTTCTAACTCGAACTAAGCCTGTCTGCTCGTCTAACGACTGTCCATGTGTTTTTGTGTTCAAGCTGCAGGTCGCAATTTTACAGATATTTCGATGAAATCTGGTACAGTGACGTGTTTCGAACCAAGGGCGAACGCTATTGAAAATGGTGCGGATCGGTTCACTTTTTCGACGCCCCAAAAATGTCGTTGTATGGAGAGAAATTGCAATTTTCAAAATTTCTCGGCAAAAGTAGCTAAGTAGTCGTATTTCGGCATATTAAATTGGTATGAAAGCTTTAGATCGGTTAGGGAAATTTTTGAACCCCCTCTTGTATAGCGAAAACTGAAGTTCATATGACAAAAACGACGCAATTTAGTGTAAAAAAGTTAAGTGTGCCAAATTTGGGCCACCTCGGCCTATTGGCCGATTGGATCCTACCCTAATAACGATTTTATCTCGTGAAAGAAGAGAGTCATTGATAGAAGAAATAGGAAACAATTCACAATCTGCAGACAGTCGATTTTATTAGATTTAACACTTGTTAAAATTAAAATGTTATTGGTCTCCATAAATGCAAACATCAGATGAAATGAAAATAGCAGCAAATAAAACGTTGCTAGACGCGACTAACTAAACATAGATGACACAGCTGAGGAATAATTTAAAGACCTGCGATTACCGGAATTGACCGCATTTTCCTTGTTTGCCAGCAAGCATACCCCTTTCCTTGACCCACAAAATAAGATTAAAAAATCTATTTTCACACATTTAAAGAAAATTTTCGATGTTTACTTCTTATCTGAGGTGATATACATTCAACATTCGCTATTAGACTTGATCGGTCTAGGTGCACATGTTATCTGAAACTCTCCATTCAAATACTTGATATCAATTAAAAAATAGATTAATTTATATGCGATTAACGCAACTTTGCATAATTTTTGTTTCTTTTAGTTTAAAAATTAATATTTTATTCGAGTTTCTTTCCCCACAAATTCACGATAAAATTTTATTATTTCACTGCTCTTAAATATGAAATTCGTAAAATAACTGTTTTCATGATACATATATTATCTAATCCAATCGTAATTATTGGACCTAAATATTTCGACGCAATAATAATTAACTTTGGATCTATGCGCATTAAGGCAAATTTTGCAAAATTTTTGCTTCAGCACTTTACACTCTCGCAGCAAATGCATTACGAATATGAGTTCAACAAACCGGATGCGACTATGTTAAAGATGAGATGTGCGTAAATTGTATAAAATAGAATAAATATTGATCCTGGTCTTGCGTAATGACATTTGTAATGGAATTATATTAAGTTGATAGTCTTAGTGGATAGTTCGACGTTTGCGGTATTTTAAAACTGTTCTGGTAATTGCGCCCGAAGTTCATTTGTAGCGATATTTTCGGAGATCTTAGCTGCGGGAGACGAAATAAACTTTTCGATGTTTGAATTAACTCCTGTTTTGCTTAAAGTTAAAATAGGGTAGGACTTTTCCGCATTATTGGATGGATAAGCTCTTGAATGACTTAAAATATTCGATTTCAAATTGGAATTTAGTAAAGCATTCTTTACAGCCGCATCTAAAATACGTTTACTGGCTTCAATTTGGGATTTCCAAGAACGTACGGCATTCTTAGCTTCTTGAATGAATTCTCTTGGCCGAGATGTATCGTTTACATTCTCATTTTTTACAGGGACCGACCATTCATTAATCATATAAGTGGGAGTTTGTGATCCAACGTCCGGAAATGTTAACTTATGTGCGTTGTTGTTGAGATCTATTCCGCTAATGGAGAAATTTTTTGAATTAAGTGAAGCCTCGTCCGAATCGTCTGAAGATGTCAAAATATCGGTTTCCAATTCATTCATATTTTTGATAAGAGCCATTACATGTCCTCTCATCGATTTAATTAAATTTGTCACATGCTCAATTATATCTTGGGCTTCTTGTACAGTTTCATTTCTACATTGGCCCGCCATTTCCGTTGTAATCGGTGAATTTGTTGCTGGCTTAGTCGTTGGGATATTTTGGCTTTGTGTTGGCGAACACGCACTCTTATTCTCTTTTCGTTC